TATGCCCTGCACCTAAGTGCTTTATGGGTTTACTTGTTTTATTAGCAGTTGCCTTCTAGAAAGATTGAACCAATTCATGCTGTTGCTAGCATCAGAGGAGGATATTTTAAAAAGACAATTTATTGTTTTCACTTCAGTTCATTGATCATCCAGAAGAAGAATGCTTTTCTTACATCTGTTTTCCATTTGTATTTTATCATTTATGAATTTATCTGGGGGGTGGGGATGCTGTCTTTTGTTATGTATTTGTACAGTTACTGATATTTAAATATTAAGATTATGCAGGCTTCATCCACCTTATGAATATATTCCAGTTTGGCTGTTTGCTTATTAAGAGTATTCATGATGATATTCACAAATAAAAGTTTTATGTATTTTTTTTGGACTGACAATAACAGCTAACACTTACTTATTAGGAACTTATGTCAGATAGTTTGGAGAGAGTTCCACCCATATATAAAATTTATTGTTCTTCATTTTTATACTTAGACATTTCTTTCCCACCACATGATCAGATAGGTATTCATTTATATTCCTAGTTATTTCATAGTTTCATTTGTATTCTTAAAGATTTTAAACCATCTGGTATTAATCTTCATGGGGGGTGGGTATGAGACGGGGCTGTAACTTTATTTTTTTTCCCAATAGTTAACCATTTATTAAATAACCTTGACTCTACTGATTATTGTATGATAGACCAGGGTCTGTTCCTGGCCATTTGAATATATTTCATTTCTCTGTTTGTATATTTTGTGCTAAAATACTGTTTTATATGACATCTACGATCTTTATATGTCTTCTCCCCTTGTTCTTTTAAAATATTTCTGGCTATTTATTCTGTAAGATGAACTTTATGCCCATCTTAATAATTTCCTTAAAAACATCCTTGGGATTTTTATTGGAATTGTATTAGATGTGTATATTAATTTGTGAAGAATTGACAGCTTTAAAATACTACATTTTCCTATCGAAAACCATGGCATGTCTTCTCATTTGGTTGAGTTTTTAAACATCTCTTAGTAAACTTTTATAGCTTTTACTGCACAAGGCCTGCACAGCTCTTGTTTATGCTTAGAAATTTTATATTTTTGTTGCTGTTATGAGTGAAATATTTTCCCCATGCCATTTTCTAGCTGGCTGTCAGCTAGTGACGAGGACTGTTGACTTTTGTATTTTTGTACTTTTTGTGTTTATTTTATAACCACACCCTGTACTGTATGATTTTATTGATTTTAACAGTATTTCAGTTAGTTCTCCTGTACTTTCTAGACAGGTCCTCGTATTGTTTGCAAAAAAGGACATATTTTTGTCTCCTTTTCCTCAAAGGCTAGTTGTCTCATTTGTTTTTCTTGCCCTATTGCATTGGCCAGAACTTCTAAACACATGACATAGTGATAGTGAGAGGCCCAGGTTATCTTCAGAGGAAGCCAGTCTGAGCCAATCCCAGCCTTAGAGTTGTCTCTTGAGAGTCTATTCATTCATTTGCTCATTTGTGAAATATTTTATGATGCCTCCTCTGGGCCAGGCCCTGTGCTGGGTACTTGGATTGGAGATGACTTACATAGGGGACTTCTGGCCCAGAATTTCCCAATCCTTTGTGATGTGTTCCTCCTTTGTGTCAGTCCCTCTCTAGACCTCAGCCATTCAGAGCCCTCTATTCCTCTGTTCCCCAATCCTACCTGCAGAAAAGGAGCTTAACATAGTCCCCACTCCCACTATATTTGTAGCATTTATTGTTAAGGATATACCTTCCCATCTGGCTTCTAGTTCACAGAGACTTTGTTAACTAGTCCAGAGGGAGTACCATTCCCCATGCAGACAGGGAAAGGGGCTTGCCCAGGATCACACAGGCTCGTTGGCTGGAGAGCTGGGTTGGCAACCAGGTTCTCATTCTAACCAATGTGTAAGCAATTAATTAGACTTTATATACTCCTTCTATCTCTCACTGGGGAATCTGTAGGAGTCTGGCTGGGAAGACATATAGTCTTCTCCATTCCAGAAGTCACACCTTCACCTGACTAGGGGTGCCTCAGGCATCCCTGGAGTTGAAAGTTCATCTGCCTCCCTCCTTGTCTTCCTCCAGCCTGAGCTTAGCTGGAACTCCCTTCAGGGATTTCCCCTCAGTCTGGGTCAAGTTCTCCCTGATGTCCTCCTTACTCCACTTATCATTGGATGGTAGTTTTTGATCTGTAGTGTACTGAAATGGCTCTGAAACCAGACTGCTGGAGTCTAAGTCCCATTTACAAATTGTATGACCTTGGATAAGTGACTTAGCCTCTTTGTGCCTTAGTTTCCTCATCTGTGAAATGGGATGGTGATTGTTGCTACCTCACAGATTTATGTGTCCAGGGCTCAGAAGAGCACCCAGTAAATGCTAGCGCTGATTATCATTACTGGTCTCTGGTTTCTCCTTTGAGAGTCCTCTATGAGCGTGAACAGTGTCCCCTTGCGGTATTCTCTGTATTCACCCCAAAGCTTGGCTCAGAGTAGATGTTCAATATGTACCTATATTTGTGGCTATTGTCCTTGGGCAGGGATTACATCCCAAGCACTGTGCTGGCTGCTGAGAATGCAGAGAGAAATCCATAAATAATGAAAATGGCTCAGGTAAGGAACCCAGACAAGGGAGCAAGTCCATCATCTCTGGGGGTCTCAGCTTCCCCTTTTATAAAATGACAGAACAGGATACACAAAGGCCCACCCCGTTTCAAGCCCAGCTGCTCTACCAGCTGCAGACCAAAGTGGGCAAGGGCGGGGTGGGGAGAAGCTGCCGTCCTTTTTTGGCCATTGGAATCCTTGGTAGCCCTGAGCCTGGCTTTGCACTTGCACTATGGACATAAAAGGCATCGGAGCGGGGCTTGTGAGGAGCCAAGGGTGTGAGATGTGTGTGAGGGGCAGCCAGGGCGAGGTGGTAGATCCCAGAGGGTGGGTTCTGCGGAAGTGACCTGGAGGGGCCCAGGTGGACCGGCAGTTGGCGTTCCAGCAAGGAAGGGCTGGTCTCCCGCCTGGGGCGGCCGTCATCTGGTCATTCTGGAGTGCTGGAGAAGCATCCAGCCTTCTCATTCATAAACGAGTAAATGAGTGCTTCGAAGTCAGAGCGAGCGGGCACTAGCCAGACCTGGGAAGACCTTACCTCTTACCTGTGTGTCAGCCTAGGCAGTGACCCAGCCTCTCTGTACCTGCGGCTTGGTCCTGAGTTGCAACCAGCAGGTGTTAAGAGGATGAATGGACACGGTGTTGGGCACGGAGTAGGTGTCTCTGAAAGACCTGCCCTCTTTAAGGCTCTGTCCAGTGCGAATGTAATGACTTCTCGTGGAGAGCAGCTGAGCCAGGATTTGGAAGGGCTGGGTTCTGATGAAGAAAGGAAGCAAATGGGAACTAATTAAAGTCGGCCAAACCACCTGTCCCATATGTCACATCCATTATCTCACTGGCTCCTTGCCAAGAAACCTAAGACGCTGGTGGATGTGTATGCGTGTGTGTGTGTGAGAGAGCATGCACCCGTGTGCATGTGTCTATGTGAGCATGCGCCCCTGTGTATGTGTGAGTGTGCCCATGTGTGTGCACCTATGTGTGAGAGAATGTGTATGCACATACCTACGTGTGAATATGTGCATGTATGTGCGTGCACCTGCGTGCAGGTGTGAGGAGGTGTGCGTGTGCCCTCACGCACGTGTGTGCCCGTGTCTGTGTGTGTGTGCTGTGCAGCCCCCATTTTAAGGCTAGGAAACGGAGGCTCAGAGAAGTGAAGTGACTTGCCCGAGGTCCCTCTGGGATTCCCTGCCTTCACCCCAGGACTTCTGACTCAGGGCCCAGCTTGGGGAGGGAGCGTGGGAGTGAGCGTGAGGGATAGAGATCAGGGGTTCTTGGAAGGTGACATCAGGGTGGACCGACTCTCCAAAGGACTGTTTTCTGAGTAACTGAGCCATGTTGGGCCAGAGGAGCAGGCTGGCAGCCAGGACCACTCTGCAGCCCTGTAAGAGACTCAGCTGGTGCACCCCTCAGGTCCTTTCCCTGAGCCTCGTGACGGGGACCTTCCCATATGCTAAGCGCAAAGGGTGCTTGTCTCTGACTGGAAACCCGCTGCTTATTGGTTTCTCCCCGATTTACTGCCTATTCTAACTCATCGGATCCCAGGACATCCCAGAACACAGACCTCAGGGGTCTGTCTTAGCTCTGCCAGGGCCTCAACTTGGGGCCTTAGACAGTCCCTTTCCTCCGCCTAGCCTCAGTTTCCCCAAATGTATGGGGGGGTTAATAACACTTCTCTTGCCCGCTTCATCAGGCTATTGTGAGAATCTCGTGAGACCAGGGTGCTGCACACGGTGAGGGGCTGTGCACAGACGTAAGTGGGTGTTACCGCACTGACCTTCGGTAAATAGAGAACAGTGAGGTGAGCGTACTAGAAATCCAAGAAGAATCGGGCATGCTTCTTTGATGCATCTCTCAGAAGCACTCTGAGAGCCCAGGGGAACGAGTCAGGAGGCAGTCGTAGAAACACACATGCAAGGACTGGTTACCAGAGATCTACTTGCTGGTTGGGAGGACACATTCCAGCTGCATCTTGAAGAATGTCTATGGTTTGGTGAATGCTACTTGAGGAATGGTTTTCTAGGTGGGGGTGATGGCCTGAGCCAGGACCTGGCAGCAGAGAAGTGCAGGGCGTGGCTGATGATGGGCTGTGGTCTGGCGAGGAGCAGAGGGATCCTGTCTGTGGGTTTGCCAACTGGAAAGAGAGCCAGATTTGCAGAGGATGGGTGGGACCAGATGATAGAAGACACAGGACGCCAAAGGAGGAGTTTGGAGGTGTCATCGTGCAGTCAGTGGGAACTATGGAGGGTGTTAGTGCAGGGAGGAATGGAACTGGAGAAGACCACCCCCCGGAGGTGTGTGACTGGGGGGATGGATGGGAGGGCATTTAGTAGGGGACAGGACTTTGAGCAGAGGTTGTGGGAGATAGCCTCTCTAGACGACTCTAGAAAGAATTGTTTTTCTTTCAGGGACAGAAAGGGGACCCAGGGCTCTCACCAGGAAAGGCCCTCGATGGGGCGAAGGTAGGTTTCCAGGGACCCCAGCATCGAAGGAAATGGAGGGGTGGACAGTAGGGAAACCGCCGTGCCCCAGCAGAGGCCGCCGTGTGTCAGAGGCAGGAGGGGGCCAAGTAGCCAGGCAAGAGTGTGGTTTGGTGCTTTCCTTGAGGTCCTTCAGCTCTCCCTGTGCCAAACCCAAAGTCATTCCCTGTATTTTCTTTGGGGGTGCAACCAATCAGACTGACAAAAGGTTTTGCCTGTGGACACACCCTTGGTGAGTGACCTTTTGTGTAATGTCCTGCATTTCTGTAGGACCCTCTAGGTGACCCTTGGCATCCAGAAGCTTTTTGCTAGCATACACCCAGGAAGCTTCCAAAAACATTCAAAAGCCCCTCTGAGGTTAATTTGAGCGGACAGGTCTGTGGATTTCTAGGAGGTGGGAAGGGATCGGGCCAGAGATTCAAGGCTCCCTAACTGAAGGGCTATGGGACCAGAAGTTTCTTGTGGAAAAGAGAACACTTAGGCCAGAGGACTTCATCCATCCCTGAAGCAACTCCCCAACACTGATTAAGGGGCCTGGAAGGAGCACAGGCAGTAGGAACAGGGGAACCCAGACTCTAAGTAAGACCCCCAGCACTCAGACATACATATTCTGGAAGGAATACTCGAGTCTGTCTGGCTCATTCTGGACACGAGCCAAAGAGCCCTCCTGACAGACAGAAAACTGCTTCTCAACCCAGCCTCCTGTGCTTAGGCACATAGAAGACGCAGGTCCCTTTGATTTCGCCAAGACCTAGGTGGCTCATTCCTTCATATCCTCACGGGATCATTTTTTTCATGCAGCAAACATTTACTAGGTGTAAACATCCACATGCACGCCCATGTGCTCCTCATCGAAATCTTATAATGCAGGACAGACGGGCCCAGCTTGCAGATGAGAAAACAGAGAGGCCTCAGAGGCAGGTGATTGCTGGAGGTCACAGAGCTGGTTGGGTGCAGAGCAGGATTTGTATCCAGGTGTGACAAAGTCCAGAGGCCCGGGCTTCTCTCTTGCTCCTGGGTTGTCCGTTCTCAGGTCTTAAGGCAGAAATGCCCCCTACTACCCACCATGCCCAGCTGGAGGAGGAATGGGCAGAAGGGAAGGGAGTCTCAGGAATGCAGAGAGAGAGCGAATTGGAATGGGACAGATAAGTTGTGTGTCCCCTGGGGCAGTGATTTTCAAACAGTTTTAGCAGCAGACCCCGTGCTCTAAATGGTATCCTGCGCCAATATCCGGGGTATAAAATAGATCAAAGGGAGGGTCTGGGTTATCGGGGAGGGGCTGGGTACCTGCCCACTTGGCTGCCCTCACCCCCCTCGGAGGCCTCTGGGCCTCCAGGAGTTCTCTTTGCAGACAATTGGTCATGCGAGGACACGCTTGCCATTTCATGAGTGTCTCTGCTCCTTTTCCCCCCGCCTCACCCCTTTGTCTGTGTTTTGCAGGGCGACGTGGGCTTGCCTGGGCTCTCTGGGAATCCAGGACCTCTTGGACGAAAGGTACACCTTCCTTTCAGTGCTTTGCCTTGTCCAGTGGGCTTTCTGTCTAGCTTCCTGGCCTAGGTCTGTCATCCTTCAGGTCTCAAGCATGCTTGTGCCTATTCCAGACAGTCCTCCTGGAACCCCAGCCTTCAGTCCAACAGCCTCTGCTCTGCTCAAGGAAGTCTAGCCTCACCGACCAGGGCGTGCGAATCTGGTTTGGCCCTCTCCCTATGGAGCCTAGAACAGGGCCTGTGCATAGTAGGTGTTCAGGAAATGGGGTTGGGGGATGGGGAGGACAATGCAGGCCAAGGGTCGACTACGTTTTGCAGGATGGCTGATGGGGATTCCAGGAGGTCTATCGACCTAGGGCCACGTCTTCGGCTTCCGCCCTGGCTCCCCGCTGTGGCTGCAGGTACCCGCTCTCTGGGCCATCTGGCTCTTGTCTGGACAGATGTGGTGTCTCCTGGCTCCATCTTGTCCTTGCTCTGAGGGTCCCTGTGGCACTTGGAGCATCACGTCTCCTCCATCTCCTTCTCCACCCTCCATGGCCAGAGCAGGCCAGAGCATAAATCTGAAGAGGCCAGACCCAGACAGGAGTCTGTGGCTGTCTGTGAGCTGGGGAAACATGGTATTTTCTGGCTCAGAGAACATAGGGACTCCCTCTCCCCACTCACTTCCCCTCCATGCTCCAGCACTTTATGATGGATGAGGTGTGAGTGGAAAAGTCTCTTTCCAGTGCTGGCTCATAAAGCAGCCCATGGTGGTCTTGCTCTGCTTGGGGGTGGGAGCCTAGCAGAGGTGGCAGGAGATGGGCAAAGCAGACCTGACCCGCTCCTGCCAGGGCTCCAGGGCTCGCTGCTCTCAGCAGATGTCCAGGGAGGCCCAAGAGTCTCCATCCAAGAGGGACCAGTTCACCTGAGCAGGGAGAAGCATCTTTTCTCAACCAAGGAAGAGCCTCTGTGCGGTTGGGAAACTGGCAAAGCCATTTACACGGAGGCCCCCGGGTCCCGGCTCAGGCAAGCCTGCGGGAGTTGGGTGGTGGCAGGCTGGTAGGCAGAGCCTGGGGGGGTTCGGGGCCCAAGGCAGGGACCCCTGACCAGTCGTGGGGGCTGGGGAGGAGGACCGATGGGGTAGAACGGTACCTGGAATCATCACTGTTTGTAAGCACTCTCTCCTCCCATGAGTGTCTTCGGTGACAACAGCGGCCACTTTGTCCTGATGCTCTTATGTGGCTTCTCTGCATCGTCTCATGTGGGGAGCCTTGGGGGAGAGGGGACATCAGTGGGTGAGAGGTGAAGTCAGCATCCTCTTTGCTCACCAGCCCATCGAATTGGGGTTTCACCTCAGCGCGACACCAATAATCCTATTTATTCATGTATTCAACAGAAGTGATTGAATGCTTATTATGTGCCAGGCAGGATGCGAGGCGTGGAGCTGAGTAAATAGGCAAAATTCCTTGTCCCCCCAGAGCTGGCATTCTTGTGTGCGTGGTGGGGCAGCAGAAAAGAAAAAGAAAAACAGTAAAAATGGAAGGACAAATGGAAAATGGACAAAAATAGGCAGGAGAAAGGGAGTTTTGGTTGGGAGGGTACCCAAGTTAGAGGTGGCGCAAGGAGTGACTGTCCTTTGTCACACTATGTCCTCACAATAGCTTCCGAGAGTTAAAGCATTATTATGCCCATTTTACAGCTGAGAAAACTGAGGCTCAAATTGACCTCATTCATTCATTCTTCCAGTCGTTCAGCAAATATGCACCTAGGTCCCAGGCTCACCCAGGTCACTGGTGCTGACACTGGTGTTAGATGCAAACGAGTTCATCGAGGGCCTCATGCAGAGGGAATTCTGTAGCAGTGCCCCCCACCACCCCACTGTGCATGAGAACCAGCTGGGGGCTGTGGGCGGGGACTCTGGTCCCGTTGGTGTGAGTGGGACTCAGGTACAAGATTCTGCAGCTGAGACTGAGAGCCACTGGTTTCATGGAAATACCTTCCAGCGTTGCTATGCCGCAGGGCTGGGATTTGAACCCAGGTCTCTGACCTTTCTCTCTGCACAACGCTGACTGAGACAGCTTTTCAAGCAAAAGAGGGCCCATTAAGTGAAAAAGAGCCTCTCTGGCTGAGAAGGTTGGTTTGTCTGCCATCTGCCTGCGATGTCTGCTGAGGGCCTTTGCCGAGCCAACTCCCGAGGGCCGGGCAGGCACACAGACCAGGCCAGAGAGGCCTGGACGGAACCCAGCTCTGTCCCCTCTCCGACCATGTGAGCTTGGGCAAGTGGCCTCACCTCACTGAGCCTCAGTTGGGACCAAGAGGAGGTTGGGATTCGGGGAGAGGGTGGGTGAGATGAGATGTTCTAGCCCCAGCACTAGCATATGGCTGGTACTCGTAGGCACTGCGTGCATGTTTGTTGAATGAATGAATGATCACTGTCATGAAGCGAAAGTGCTGAAGGTCTTGCCCATCTGGTACCATTGGTCATCTTGCCTAGTTACCAGGTAACCACCCTCCACTAGCCAAGAAGGCTACCAGAATTCTATTTGCACGTTGGGAGGGTGGAGTCCTGTGCTGTCCCTAGCCCAACTGTCCGCCTTCTCTCTTTAGAGCAGTGCTTCCCAGCTGGGGGTGATTTTGTTCCCCCAGGGAACAGTTAGCAATATCTGGAGACATTTTTGGCCATCACAGCTGGGAGAGGGAAGCTACCAGCTTCTAACAGGTAGAAGCCAGAGATGCTGTTAAATATCCCACCCCAGCTAAGACTTACCCGGCCCACAGTGTCAGCAGAGCCCCGGGGCTGAGAAACTGCTGTACAGAAGCCCCCCTCCATCCGGGGCCATCCTGACTCCCTGCGCCTGCTTATGCTGTGCCCTCCCCTGGCACGATCTTCCACGCTCATCTTCACACCTCTGTCCCTTGATTCTGTTCTCCAACACCATCTTCTCCAAGAGCACCCCCACCCCCAGCACTTCCCAGGCAGAAGTCACGCCTCCTTCCTCTGATCATCCAGCCCACCTTCTCAGCCTCTTTGGGACTCTGCGCGTTCAGCTGGCAGGAGACTCTGGTGTCCTAGGCGTATTTGTCAGCTGAAGCAAGTGCACAGAGTCCCTGTCCACCCTTGCTTCCTTAGGAGGGGCTTAGCACAGTTCTGGACACATGCATCTGCCCTGTTCCATACCTCCCTCCACCCCTGCCTATGGCAGACATCTCTCATTGATCTTTCCTCTCAAGCCCTGATGCGACCTCAGAATCCTTAACACATTGCCCCAAGTAGACATGACTAATGGAATGAAATTAGGACTCCAGTTGAAACTTCCTCCCGGCTCCCTCTTGCAACCCTCACCCTGCCCACGGGTCCTCCCTGTGCCGCCTGAGTTGGCCACTTCCATGCCGAGCCCCTACTGAGAACCTTCTCCAGGCTCCCCTATTGCCGGGCTGCCCTGGGCTGCTGGGGCCCATGCCCACTGCCATTTCTGAGCTCTACTGCTGCTCTGCTATCCAACCTGGCCCCTCCTTCAAGCCTGTTTACAATGCCGCCCCTGCTGGTTGGCTGTCTACACTGTTTTAGCACGCAGCGCTTCTCCTTCATTCCACTTAATATGTGTTACCTTCCAGAAGGTAGGGAGTGAGTTTGTTTTGTTCACCGGTGTATTCTCTGCGCCTAACACAGGGTCATGTTTGAGGCTCAGCACACCTTAGTTGAATGAATGAACAATTGGTCGAATGGATGAGCCAGACAGAAATGGTGTGTTCCTGCCTGACCTGTCTCAGGTACCCATTGAGCAGAGTTCGATGTCAGGTGCCTGGCTGTGTCATGATGGATTGCGCTTTTGGACAAACCACATGTTTTTGAATCGCAGAGTTTCTGAGCGTACACAAGGCTTTGAGAGGCCAGGGGGGGAAACTGAGGTCCAGAGAGGAGCAGGGACTTGGTCAGTATCATGTAATGAGTCCTTCTGCCTCCTGGCACATTTCTTCCTCGCCGATCCATTCTGTCGAATGGGGCTCTCGGCCCCGCTGCCTGCCCCCGATGGGCTGTGGAGGTGGTCGAGAAGTTTAGGGGGTCTCATGGAGTGCTCAGCAAGCATGGTGAGTTCCGTTTTACTGCAGGAGAAGCTGGGGCCTTGCACACCGAGTTGGAGCCGGGTAGACAGCTGAGGTCTAGGCACACATTGCTCCCCAGGACCCCCAGGTAAGAACAGGACCCCCCACCCCCACGCTCCCTGCCCAAAGCCCAAATAGCATCCCGGCCGACAGGGAGACTGCTGCAACAGTGAGGTGATGTCTGGTTTCTCCTTGTGCACTGTAAGCAATGATTAATCTGGCTCCCAAACCAAAATATAGACCGAGTTCTATTATAAACACAGGTCCTGTGGAGACACGCCTGCTGGGCAGCCAGAGGCCCCTTACAGACTCCATGGTCCCTGGAGCTCCCCTGAAGCATCTGCTCTCCCCTAGTACCAGTCGGGCACCGATCACACAGGGGAAAATCACTGCCCGTGGGTCCACCTTGCGGTTAGTACTCACCCCGTAATTGCTGGGGCCCAGGAGAAGATAATGGTTTAGATTCTTCCAGGTCCTGGGGCCCTGTCATTTGAAGCTATTTGGCTGGCCCTGGCTTCGTAAACACTGTTAAGGTACTTCAGGGAGCATAGGAACCTCCCCCCCCACCCTCCCCCCACGCCTTGGCCTTGCTCAGCCTCTGCTGCTCTCAGCCAGGAGAAGTGGGTCGTTCACAGCAACGTGCAAGGCCCTTCAGGGTCCACTGAGTGCGACAGACCTAGGAATCGTGTCCTGTTGGACAAAGCGCAGCCCGGGGGGGCGTCTAGAGTCCTGGAGAACAGTCTGGGCTTGGCCATAACTTGCTAAGTAACCTTGGGCAAGTCCCTTCCCCCTGGTAAGTCTGTCCAGTGAGAAAAGTGGTCAGATTGATGGCTCAGGTCCCCTCCAACTCAGATACTCCAGGATTCCGTGACGGCCCTCTGCCCTGGTAATGCTGCAGTGATCCATATGCTCTGTCCTGGGGAGGACGGCCTCTAAGGGGGTCTTTCCCTGTGTGGCCCTGTGGCTCTTCTAGGTGGGCCTTGGGCCTCGATAAGTATGTCTTATCCCACAATTGGGTGGTTAGGATTTAGGGATTGGAGTCACACCCTGGCCTTTCCCCTGGGAAACTGCGTAGCCTCAGGAAAGTCTCTTTACCTCTCTGAGCCTTCGTTTCCTCATCTGGCATGTGTGCATGGTAACTCCTACCTGCTAGAGGGGTGATCACAAGGAGTTGATGAGCTGATGTATTTATTTAAGGCTCTAGTACCAGGCCAGGCAAAGGGCCGGCCATTGTCCCTATCCCTGAAGATCATGCATTTCCTTTTTTCTGTGTCCTGAGTAAAGGGTTTTCTTAAAATCTTCTGGGATCTCCCTGGCAACACTTCTCTGCTGGAACATTGGTTTCCAGCAGATTTCTTCTTGGCTGCAGGCAAAGCCAAAGGAGCTGGTGATGCTCAGGGGCTCCCTGGTCCCCTTTCATGGTTCTCTTGGGATTCTCGCCCCATTATTGCATCGGCTTTTGGCAGCAACCTGAGGCGTGCTGAGAATGGCAGAGTGAGGCTCAGAGAGGGCAGTTCCCTGAGCGGAGTCACACAGCCTGAGCTCAAGGCTCGATTCCGCTCTTCGTGGGAAAGGCTTTGCTGTTCTTCCTCGTGTGCAAGTTCCACGTGAAGAAACGATAAGAAAGATGATTACATGTGTCCTATCATGACACGTCCCTGCTCAAAATCCTCTTGTGGGTTCCCACCATACTCATGCCTTGTGTGGGCTGGCTTCCGGTTTCTTCTTAACCACCTGCCCCTCTCTGCCTCACCCCTCACTCATTCTGCTCCCATCACGGAGGCCTTGGTCTTCATCAAACCCACCCGAGAGGGTTCTCGCCTCAGGGCTTCTGTACTTGATGTTCCCACTGCTGGGAACGCCTTTCCCCAGGGGGCCAGCCCTGTGTCCGGCTCACATTATTTGTCCCCTCAGAGCACCTGCCTGGCTGCCCGGCCACAGCCACCATGCCCCGCCCCCCCAACGCGGCCTCTCTCTGTCCTCTGACTCTGCTCACTTTTCTTCGTAGCGCCGGTCACTACTGCACAGTCGTTGTTTTCAAAATTTTAACTTTCAATTACGGCAAAAACCACACAACATAAAATTTACCATCTTAACTGTGCTTAAAGGTATGGGTCACCAGTGCCAAGCACATCCACGTCGTGGTGCAAAAGGCATCTCCAGAACTTCCCCATCTTGCAAAACTGAAACTCTACACCCACGAAAACAACGGCTCCCTATTTCCCCCTCCCCCAGACATTATCTTTTATATTTATTTGGTTTTACATCTCCTTAATTAGACTGTCAACTCCGTTAAGGCTAAAGGATGTTGTCTTCTCATTCACCCCAGGCCCGGAATGGTGTTGGCACATAGAAGTTCAGTGAGTGTTTGTTGAATGAGTGAATGAAATATGAAGGTCACGATGGTGACAGCAGCGGGTCTTTACGGGGCGCCTGAGTTCAATGCTGGGTACTGCACTAGGTGCTTTCCCCACATTATGTCACGTGATCCATGCGCCTGTCCTTATATTTCCATTTACAAAAGAGGAAACCAAGGCTCGGCGAAGTGACATCAGTGGTTGCAGATCATCCAGCCATCCGGTAGCAAAGCAGGATAGTCCCAGATCAGCCTGACACAAGAGAGCTTAGCCACTCCGCATGTGAGCCCCCGGCTGTGGCCTGGGCTTCAGTTTGCTCCCTGGGGAAAAGAACACGGCCTCCCCCCTTCCCCCCCACCCCCAGGTAGAAGCGGCTCACAAGCATCAGTCTCATGAGCCCCGCGTGTGAGATGTAATCATATCGCTGAGCCGTCCTGAGGTATGAGTAGGTGCAGCAGGAATGCTTGTAAACTCCCCAAACCTCTTGGATCCAACCGACGTTGCTGTTTATAATTAAGATTTCTGCTTCCTGGGGGTCTGCGGGGGTGCTGAGTGCGTGTGCCTGTGTGTGTTCGTGGACGTGCGTGAACGGTTACTGTGCCTGGGATGTCACCCAGGCTCTCGGTGTGGTTCTCTGACACTCCGTTTTCTCCTCTGTAAAGTGCAGGTGATAATCCCCCCCCCCAACACTGCACCTCGTTTGGCTGGTGTAAGGGCTAGAGGGGGTCATGCAGGTGTAGTCTAGGTGAACGGCAGTGCATGGAGGGAATCTACAGGCATCATCTTGTTTATCACCCTCTGGGGGAGTTGTAGAACTTTGGAGTTCCCAAACACCAGAGCCGAGGGGGACTGAGAGTTCTCATGCCTTCAGCTGAGGTCCAGAGAAGGGTGGAAACCCACCAGACTTGCATGGTAGGTGAGGGACGGTGTCTGAGCCGAGCCCTGGGCTCTCTGTGCCAGGGGGTCTAACGGAGATCTGTGTGGCTACTTTGTCTGGACTGGAAGGCCCCTGCCTGGTCTTAGTTCACAGCTGCCCTGAGGTGATGGAAGTTTGAAGTCCCGGGTTTCCCTTCGGAGAACCCCTAAGTCTTAGGAAATGGCTTTGGTGGTTGTCCCTAGGGCCATGAGTAAGCACACACTGGTTTGATTCTCTTGACCTAGAGACCTGGAGGTTGGGCCGTGGGGACAGAGGGTCAGCGTTGGTTCTGGCTTGTTGGCAGAGTCCTTCTCAATCAGGCATTTGGGTGGCCTCTTCCTCCCTGGAATGGGAGCTGGGACGGGTGGGAGGAAGGGAGGCCCCTACTGTGGTTAATATATTTGGTCGGTATGTGTGAGATCTTTTCTGATAGGGGGTTTATGAGAAGGGGCAGGTCTTGACACAGATCCCAGCAGCACATGGTGGTTGAACGTATCCCAGACCCAAAGGTCCTAATTGGCCCACCCATCCGTTGAGAACTCACTCTACCCCGGCTTCGGATGGGCTCACCCCCGCCTGGATTTGGAAGGAATAGTTGGGATCCAGCGTCACTCTGCCATGGGGGGCTGTCTCCCAGTTCAGGTCACAAACCCTGCGGGAGGGGTGAACACCTCCCCTGATGGCTTCTGTCTGAGTGCCACTGGTGGGAGAGGACAGCATTGCAAGTGGCCAACCTTGAATGCATCCATTCAGCGAGTGGTCGCTGAGCACACACTCCAGCCCTGCCGTGCACAGAGCATGCAGTGCTGAAAAGACGGGCAGGGCGGCTGGGCCTCTGCCATCTGATCCACAGGCCCAGACACCTTCCTGGCCTGATGCCATTTCTCCCCCCCCCCCCCAGGGATACAAGGGCTATCCTGGACCGGCGGGGCACCCCGGAGAACAGGTGAGGGCCATGGCCTCAGCTCTGCCCTGCTTGCACTCCGCCCCCCTGCTCCATCTCTGTCTGCCCCTGGCCTCCTCCCTGGGCCCTGTTGCACGAGTGAGCCCCAGAACCATCCTGTGGGGGGCGGGGGGACAAGCCTCCCCCTCCTCTCCCGCAGCCACCTCTGCCTGAAAGAGCCGGAGTCCACGCCGACCTGGCGTTGGCATGAGCCCCTCGACTCCAGCCAGAGCCATGAATAGCTGGCCTGTTCCGGACGATGTTAGGGGATATTATGCACGCCGCCACGGGGTTTGCAGGAATTTGGGCTGCACTGGCCCAAGTCAAATAGCAGCCCCTGCCAGCGTGGGAGAGCCAGCCAGGGCTCCTTAGAGCTCTCTCAGTCCTGGGCGGCCAGCACAGGGGGTTTGTCCTTCTGAGCTCGTCTGACCGGTTTCACAGAGTGGTGGGCTGGGGGCCCAGCAGCCCTGTGGCTTCCCCTTCCTCCCCATTCAGCTCGCATTCCTGCCCTGCTCTTTGTCCATTGTGAGTAAGCCCCAGTCCCCCACCGCCCCTCAGACCCAGAGCGGGGCAAGGTCTCTCCTTTCCTTACGTTTCTCTTCATTCCTTTGCAGGGGCAGCCAGGACCTGAGGGCAGCCCAGGGGCCAAAGGTTACCCTGGCAGGCAGGTGCAGTATATGGCTTCTGGAAGCTCGGTGGCCATGGTGGTGTGGAGATGGCCACGGGTGCCCCCCAGGCAGAGGGAGGCAGCAGGCTGGGGGCCGAGGAGCTGTGCCTGCCGGGTGGGCCCCGAAGAAAAGGCTATTCAGGGGGCTGGACCAAGGAACCCTCTCTTTGAAGGCAGTAGGGCACAGGACGCTTAGAAAGGGACCTGGTGCTGTGGGGGTGGGGCTTCAGAGCCTCCTCCCACTCAGTCTCCCCACCCCACCCCCCACTCCCCTGGGACTCTGGGGCAGAGTGGGGTCCTCAGTGTGAAGACTGCAGGTCTAACCCCACTCCCTTTCTACAGAGGGGGCAGCTGAGGCCCCAAGGAGGCAGGACTTGCCCTGGGTTGCTGGCAGCAGGGAGAACGTTTCCCTATGTCCTTGCCCCTCTGTCTCTTATGTTTCAGGGGTTACCTGGACCCGTAGGAGACCCTGGCCCCAAAGGCAGCCGGGTAAGTGGGCCTTGGCAAGTACCGCTCAGGTGGGGCCCTGGGTGGTCATTACCTGTCCCCCCAGTGGACCTGATGGGAGGTGAGGGTGCAGGGTCTGTATACAGTGTCTGGCAGGGGGGGCTGGCACCTCTGCCCTCCCACCTGAGTGCTCTCTGGAGAGCAAAGGGGCAGCAGGGTGGGCAGGTGATGGGGGATCCTTGAGCCAGGTAAGCCGGCGCGGCCCATGCCAGGCAGACTAGGCAGCGAAGGTTCTGTTGGGTGCTCAGCCATGGCCCAGCTGCTACGGTCAGGTGCTTGCTTGCCGTGTCCCCCAGCACATCCCAAGTGCTAGGGGACCTAAGTTGGGGCTACTTTGTCTGCCGTTAGAATCCTCAGAGGTCTCTCTCCTGCTCCCTTCCCAGCCCTTTTTAGAGAGCAGGGGTGGCTGATGGGTGATGCTGCTCGGGCCCGGAGGCTGATGGAGCATCTGCTCTCCCTCTCCTGGAGCAGACCCTGAGTAGCCAGCAGCCTCAGTTTGCCCTTCTTTACAATGGGAGTGAGGTCCATTCCTACCTCTAGCATGGTTATGGGGATACCAGGAATTTGGAAGCAAGTACTGCTGAAGAAGGGCTCCCAAGTGGGTTGTGGGTGGTGGAGAAGATTCTGGATGCACTGAATGGGGGTCGATGGAGTTTGAAAGTCTAAGAGATAACGTGGTGGAATCCCCTTGTCTGCACACAAGAAAACTGGGGTCATGGTGAGGACTGGACGGCCGCGGTTTGCTCTGCACGCCTAAGGTGGAGCTGGGATGGGGACCCAGGTGTCCTGAGGGCCGGACTTGCTGCCTCTCAAAGAATGCTCGGAAAGTGGGTCACATAGCCCTCGGTCAGGCCAGGTCAAGTGTGACGTGTCCTCCACTCCCGAGCCAAAGCTATTTATGGCCACAGTCTGGGCCTTAATCCCTGCAGCTGACATGTGGCCGTTAAAGCATCTGGGAGGTGGGCAAGGAGGTGGGCGGGCAAGTTCCTTGGGATGTCATGATGTTGGTGATGATGGTGGTGATGTCATGCAGGGGCTGGGGAGGCTCCTGTCCTGTATCCAGCTGTTCCCACGAGCTGTGGCCCCAGACGCATGCTGCTGACATCTGGGGGTACTTGCTGTTTGCCATGCTGATGGCATCTTGAGACCACATGTGGGCCAGAGTTGGTCTGGCCCCAGGACCCTCCTCTCTGGGTCACAGGGCCCTGAGCAGCCCGGGGGAGCTGGGACCGCTGGAGCCGCCCTCCCCGCCACCACCAGCCTTGTCGTTGGGAAAGTGCTAGAACGCAGCCTTTGGAATTAGGGCAACAGGCTTTGAGACCTGCTGTGCCCTTAACCAGCTGTGGGATGGCGGGCAAGCTGCTGGACCTCTCTGAGCCCATTTTTTCTCATCTGTAAATCTGGGATATAAGCCCTGGTTGGCAGGATCAATAAATGTCCCTCGTTACAAGGATGACTGTTTATCGCAGCGGATGCTGAGGAGGCTCAATGACCTCTTGCCCTGCTAGGGAAGGAGAGATGGTTGTGAGCCTGCGTTGGTTGCTTGTTTGTGGGACGCAGCGTAGCCGAGGGGTTAAGAGGCCTGCCTGGGAGTCCGTTGACCGAATTCCAATACCAGTTTTATCATGTTCCAGCCGTGTGACCCTGGGCAAGTCGCTTCACTTCCGGGCCTAAACGTTCTCACCTTTACAGGGGGCCGACTGATAATACCGTGCTTCCTGGGCTGTAGTGAGGACATGGTAGATGCTTGAATGCACATGAAGCCCTGAGAACCGGGCCTGGCACGTGGCTTGTGCTCAGTAAATGTTCACTTCGGGGAGCATTATTATTAAAGCATTCCATAAACATCTAGAGAGCGCAGACAATGATAGGAGCTCTGGGCTAGGTCCCTGCCCTTGAGAAGTTCCCAGGCTAATGAGGACATGAAACATGAACACAGATAATGGAAGATACATTGGAGAAAGTGGTAAATCCTATTAACAGAGGAGCAAATATGGTGCGTGGGTGGAGGGAAGAGATGGGTTCTGCTTGCCAGAGGCGAGGGCACTGGAGCCAGGCTTCGAAGGGATGACTGCCGTCGCTGGGGTGGGAAGGGCACAACTTGGAGGCAGAAAGTCAGGTGCATCCGAGGGCAGTGGACCCCCAGCTCCGCCCCTTTATCTCCAGAGCCTGGGTGTCCTTGTCTGTGAGGTGGGGGAGCGGACGGCCAGGCCGCAGTGTCGCCCGGTGGGTCGAAGGCAGTGTCGTACGCCTGCCCAAGGGGCAGCCGCTCTTCCTGCAGGCGTTCAAGGCAGCCGTGGGTGGATGTGAGCCCCAGCCTAGGAGGAGGCATCGTGGAAGCCACGGGCACCCAGCAGGGTCCCTCGGAGCGGGGGGAACCTGGTGCCCCTCTAGCATCTAACCCAGCCGAGAGCTTCCTTTCTGCAGGTCCGGGAGCCCCGGCGTGGGGCGGGCCTCCCCCTCCCACCCCAAGAGCGCCCGCGCCCTTCCCTGGCGTGAGGGTATGTGCCTTTGGACTACATCGTGGAAGCCAGCACCATGCAGTCCATGGGCATATACACTTGCCTCAAGGCCTGTGTCATCGAGGAGCTGCTGGAGCTGCCACCGTCACCAGCGAGGAAGAGGAGCCTGGGTGTGGGAGGGCAGCGAGGGGGGCTGGGACGGGTCGGGCCAGCCACGCCCCACCACTCGGTCCCTCTGACCCCCTACGTGCTCTTTCCTAGGGCTACATTGGACTCCCAGGGCTCTTCGGCCTGCCAGGGTCCGATGGAGAGAGGGTGAGTAGGCTTTCTTTGTTTACCTCCCGCCCACCTACCCACCCCTTCTGCCTGGAGAAGTCCGGGAGTCCCTCCTGGAGGAGGTGCCCTTGAGTTGAACAGGAGTCTGCCAAGGGGTCAAGGCAGACCCCTTCCAGACATAAGGGATAGCGGGTGCAAAGTCAGGGAGGTACGGTAACTTGGCAAGTTTAACAGTGTACACTGTCAAAGCTCTGAGCGTGAGGCAGGAAATGGTAAGGAGACGAGCTTGGAGGGGGCACCTGGGCGAAGTGACGTGGGCGCTCAGGGCCTGGGTCAGGAAGTGGACTTGATTCTGAGAGCATGGGCAGCTTCTGAAGGGCTTTCAGCAAATGAGAAATGGGCCCACTTTGTATTTCAGATCAAGTGTCTGCAAGTTGTCTGTTTTCGTAAAAGTGTGATTGAACACAAGCATGCTCATTTGGTTACCTGCTGTCTACGGCCACTTTTACTTGTGGTGCAACAGAAAAGACCACGTGGCCCACGGGCCTCTTCCTCCCTGTCACTTCCCAGCCGGAGCCCATATTTGGGACTCATCAACAAGCTGGATAGAGAGGACCTTGGGCGGGGCCGCAGGAGCACCTGCTGAATACCAGGGATGCTGGGCACTCTCCAGCTCAGGTCCACGCACACCCCAGCCCTGTAGAGTGCAAGCACCTTCCATGTGATGGGCACATAATTGGCACCTACTGTGTGTGACCTGTGCGCCCGGCCTTCTGCGACTTCCTCTCGTGGGTGGCGCTGGGGCTGGTTTGGGACAGCACTGGTTGTCCCCTGTGGAATCCTGTCCTGACCTCTTCCCTGTCTTTCCCCTACAGGGCCTGCCTGGCGTTCCTGGCAAGAGGGGCAAGATGGGTAGGCCGGTAAAGATTTTCCGTGTCTATTATGCAGACTCTATGGGTGAATCTGACGTCCCGGGGGCCATCCCGCCCCGTGCACCTGCAGCCTGGGCGTTCTCTGCTTCTGTCCGCTCGGCCGTCGCTCTGCTCTGCGTGTGTGGGCCAGCATGCGGGGCTGTCTGGGTCTCGTGTCCTGCTGCCAGGACCCTGACCGGCGGCTGCCTGGCTGGAGCTAGGGCCTGCCGTGGCTCTGGGCCCCTCTGGGATGGCTCCTGTGTGTGTGTATGTGTGTGTGTGTGTGTGTGTGCGTGCAACAATTGTTCTGCAGTGTGGTCCTGCATCTGGGGGCTTCTGTTGTCTGGGTCAGTGGTGTCTGTGGGGCTGCTTGGACTGGGGGATCATGGCTAGACCCGGGTCTGGGCTCCTATCTCAGAAAACCCTCAGTCTCCATGTTGTCTTGATGTGGCCAGAGTTACATGTGCACCTGCTAGGCTAGAGGGCGGTGGGGCTTGTGAGCAGGCCTACAGTGGGTGTGACCCCAAGAGGGGCTGGCCGTAAGCCCTGGTTCATTGGCTTTGCGCATGACCCTCCAGTGTGGTGGGAATTGCTTTCCTCCTGCTTGGGTATCTCCAGGGCAGGAAGAGAAAGCCAGGTCGCAGAGAGGTTGAGTCACTTGCCCACAGCTTCACAGTCAATAAGGGAGCGCGATTCCAACACCGCCATTCGCCTCCAGGGCCTCTGATCTCTGATCTCAGATTCACTGGCTGGCAATAATGTTGTAGAAGCCCATGCCCCAGAATCTTCACCTGGTGGGCGAGGCATTCATTCCAATGCTCTCATTACTCACAAGGGGAAGCTGAGGCTCCCCCTGGAGTGATATATCCCACATCCTTGCTGCCAGTGGAGGGAGACCCCAGACTATAAGGGAGGCATATTTCTTTCAGGCCTGACCTCCACTGGTGGCTTAAGGCCCCATGTGGCTGCCCACAGGTTAACCCCTAGACTTGGAAGCATCATCAGCTTGGGGTCTGGGCTTCCCTCTGCTGGTGGCTGATGGAGAAGGGACTGTGGGGGAGGTTGGAACTTGAGAGGTGGCTGGAAGGGGGCCAGGAGAACTCAGTGGTGCCTAGAAAGGGGCTCGTCTGTGACTCGGGTTGACATGCGTGATCACGGGATCTTACCCGTAGTGTATGGATCTGGGCCGTGTGGGGCCGAGTGTGGTATGCAAAGAAGAGCAAGATCCAGGTCCTGGTCTCAAGGACCAGAGGGGCACCTCATCCTCCGACTAGACCTTTCTGTGGCCGACAGCGGCTCTGTGCCTGGGGGTCTAATACCTGACACCTGGATCTGGGCAAGGAGTAGCACCTAATGCTTCTCGCTTTAGGGCAAGACCTGGCATCTGTGAGGGCTGGGCTGGTGTCTGGATCTGCTCCTCAAGCCAGGTGACCCTGGGCAAGGCGACCCATCCATCCATCCATCCATCCATCCATCCATCCATCCATGCATCTGGCCATCCATCCAGTGAATATTGAGCGTATATTGTGGGCCAGGCCCTATGCTTAGTGCTGAGCAATGAGCAAGACAAAGTTCCCATTTTCATGGACAGGTGGACAGACAATGATCGAACGAGGGAATGAGCAATGAGTGAATGAATGTCAGATGATGCTGAGTGTTAAGATAGAGTGGGTTAGGGAGACAGTGAGTGCTTGGGGTATAGACTGTTAGGTGAGTTGATCCAGGAATCCTCCTCACTTCTTGTGAAACCTTATTGAGGTGAGAATGGGAGCCCTGTGGCAATCTGGGGAAGAGCTTTTCAGGTTGAGGAGATAGTAGGTGCAAAGGCCCTGGGGCATTATTGGCTCAAAGCCTTTGAATTGCAGTTTTCCCCTGTGAGAAATGGGGATAATAACTTCTAGCTCATGGGGTCATTCCGCTTGTCACCTAGGAAGTGCTCCGTAAATAGTAGCAGTTGTTATTCTTGTTTGTAGCTTCATGGGTGGCTGAGGCTGTCTATGCTGTGTCACTTTGAGCCAATGGCCTCACCTCTCTGGACCTGTTTTCCCAAAGTCTAAGTTGCAGAGGAGGGACAGTTGGCTTCCTTAGATGTTCTCAGCTGGGCCCCGTGCCCTCACCCAGGTCTGCCTCCAGAGCCACCCGTGAGGGATTTGCTCAGACTCTATCCTGGGAGGCTGCCAGAGCGCCGGGCACTGCCACTTTACAGATGAGGAGATGAAGCCTCGGGGGGTGAATGACATGGCCAAGGTCTTGAGGCTTCGGGGGGTCATTGCTGGGTTGGAATGCAGCAGCCGGAGCTTTTGCCTCTTGCCCCAGAGTGTAGCTGTTGAGCGAAAGCATTCCAGAGTCTCCTGAGCACGGAGGAGGGGTGAGCCAGGCCCCAGCTGCCCTCTTCCCCTTCCCCCTTTTTCCTCCTCCCAGTGGCCTCTTCATCCGCCTACTCCCCGCCATGTACTTGTTTGCTCCTTGGAGTTGAAGGCCAAGCTGCTTGTGGCCAGGAAGGCAGCACCCTCTCGGTCTGAGGTGCTCAGCGCCATTTTGCCATCTGCGCGTGAGAGGAGACCGCTCATTCATTCTTCGTTCAACAAAAATTTACTGGACACCTACTAGGTGCTAGGTGCTGGGGATAGCACCTGTAAACCAAAACATACCCCCAAAAGGCCCTTTTGCCTGCATGGCATCTGAACTACGTATGATTCCCCCACTGATTCTCCGAGGTGAGATTGACTACACCTGTTTTCCAGCCTCGGCAACCGAGACTCAGTCAAAGCCATTTGCTCAGAAACCCTCTGGGGGCCTCACCAGACTCGAAGCCCCAGAACTGATGATTCAGTTCTGCTTCCTTGCTCCTTGCCTTTAACTTCCTAAGATTGTGCCCTGTCCTTCATGATGGGGTGGTCTTTGGCACTACAGTGTCAGGCATGGGTGGGAGGAATCCCCCTTCTTCAACAGGGGGGCCACACAATACCCCTGAGGGCCGTGAAAGTCCCCTTGACCCTGGCCCAGCTGCCATGGCTATCAAATGGGCAAGGTCTGCACTGGATATGATTTAATAGTGTAGGGAGCAGGACTGCATGGCACCGAGTCCCTACGGCCTTTGTCTCTGCCCATGCCGGGCCCCTAAGTCTGCAAATACCCTCGGCCCACACGCTCCCTAAGTGGTCTTTATGGCCATCCCCCTGTTGCCAATGCTCCTGAGCCCTTGATCTGGCTGGTGGGCTGGGGGGAGCCGTGGGGGGCGGCGCTCCTTCTGCAAATGTCCTCTTGTCAAAGCTTTGGGCCAGGCGATTTCTAGGCATGTATCAACAAAAGGAAATGTCGGGAGAATGAGCTGAATTCCCTCATGCCAGATTGCAGCTGGCCTCATTTCTGGCAGGGCTGGTGGTGATTTTGCCGTAGTTCATCTCTCTCCAGCGAGCAGAACTTCGGGCTCGGGCACGCGGCCTCCTTAGCATCAGGTCGGGAAGGAGGGTGTGTGGGAATCTTTTGCTGATCAGAGCCCTAAAGGAGACGCTAGAGGTCAGAGCATATCAGAGCTGCAAGAACTTCAGTGATGAGCTGGCCTGACCTCTCTGTCAGACAGATAAGCAGACAGAGCTCAGAGAGCCCAGTAATTTGGCCAAAGTCACACAGCAAGTTGATGGCAGGGTCAGGACTCGACCCCAGGACCTTTGCTTGCTTTCTACCTTACACTTCTCTCTGCGCTCCTATCTTTAGCTCCAAAGGAAAGCTTAGGCTAAAGCTCTCATCTCCTCACGTCTGCTAGAATGGAGAGTGTGTCGTGGTTTTCTGAGGAGGGGTCCAGATATAAGATGTTGCAGACTTGGTTGGAGCCGAAGGGGTTTCTCCTGGGCTGTCCTGGCTTGTTCTGGGCATGGCACAGTGACGCTTGCAGCTGGGACAAGGGTCCCTCCCAGGAGTTAGGAAGACAGGTTGCAGTGAATCTTCTTGCTGGGCAGGCGCTCTGTGAACTCACTTTCAAGCCCGCTGGAATGCCTGGCAGAGGCTGGCCACTGCTCACAGCGTGTCTCGTGGCCTCTGGCCGGGCCTGCGAGGCTGGTCTTGTGTAGTGAGTCAGGCCGGCAGACCCTCAAGCTTACAGCTGGAAAGGCCCAACCCTGGCTTCCACTCCGTCAGTGTGTGGCTCAGGGACAACTGGGACTTGCCCAAGGCCACACGCCCATGGGGGGGTGGGAAGAGCTGCTGCTATGGTGCATTTGGTTTCAGAATCCTTTCCAATTCTCAGACTGTGGGGAGCAGGGAGCAAAGTGACAGAGGTCTCGTGTTTCCAGGTGGGGAAACTGAGACCAAGATGGATGAGAGTTTTTCGCAGTGGTGATGCTGGGGGTCGGGGTTGGTCCCCAGTGTCCCATACTTGAGCTAGAGCTGCCCGGGGCTATTGGTGACCCTGGGATCCTGGGGAGAACTTGACCTACCTATCTCCTACTTGTTCCCTGAGGTGACTCTTCTTAGATGGGCTCCTTAGTGGATTCCAAAAGGGCAGGGTGAAAACATGCTCAGCATTGTGACCTCAAGGGGTCTTTCCATGTCAGCACACTTGGAGTGCGCACGTGTTCTAGAAAGGACTACGGCGGGCTGCAAGTGCAGCAGGAGGGATGCAGGTTAAGCTGGCCCAGGAATATCCTGACTGTGGAGAATCTCAACACTATAAAGAGGGCCCTGAGATCCTTCTGGAGGCTCTTCCGAGAGGTTATTCTGTATTCCCACTGTTGATGCAAACCAGAGCTAGCGTTCCCTGGCTCAGTAGAGCATGCCGGGGCTGCATTACGACATCCCACCTCTTCAGCCCAGCTCTGCTAGGGGAGTTGGCAAGACAGACCATTTCGTAGGTCAGGGAGCTGAGCCTTCGAGGCATTAGTGGGACTTCTGATCCCGGAGGCTTCATGCCTCCCCTGCCTCTCCAGCCCACCTTCTGGAGCAGACGGATGGGGTAGACATTGCCTGGAGGCAGGGGAGTGGCTGAGGTGGCCCTCAGCGGCCTCCTCAGACCTTGGCATCCTGCTGTGGATGTGGTGACAAGGACCGCCCTCTCTTCACAGCTATTCCTCTGCATTGCTGTAGCTAAGATAGAATTTGGAGTCCCTTCCTGGAGCCTGATTCTGTCTCCTCCTGGGCCTTGTTCTGCTCAAAGTACAAGGCGTCCAGTTCCCCGGGGGCCCCGACCTGGGGAAGTGGTAACACCACGTGGCTGGGGCCCCGGCAGGGTGCCGAGCTCATTCCTTGGGCCTCGGGCCAGCCTGCTGCAGCCGGGAGCTCAGGCCTGCGGAGGAAGGTCCCACTGCTGGCCCGGCTGGGACTGCACTCCATGCACGAGGAGATATGGCCAGAGGGAAGCAGAGTGGGAGGAAAGTGGGGCCCCACATCTAGCTTGGCGACCGCCTCTCTGAGATCCAAAAGGGCCAAGCATCGGGGCCCCGGGGCAAGTGCTGGAAATGAGATATGTCTCCAGCGGCAGAGGGGTGACACAGGCTGGTGGGAGATGGGCCCTTGTGCATGCTCTGGGCCTCAGTCTCCCCACTGGTGCAATGAGGTGTAGCTTGTCAGGAACAGCTAGGGTCTTTCTATCTTAGAGATTGTTCCAATCGCAGATTTGTTCCAGCACTTTTAAAGCTCCTATCTTTTATCCCCCAACCATTATGCTCTTAATTACTCATCTTACTGGGCTGCTGGAGTTTGCTCTTACTGTCTTTGTTCTTACCCTGCTGTTATCAGCCACTGGCTAGCTTTGGACCCTTTTTGTCTACAGAAATGCCTTCCTTTGGGATTTCGACCTTTCTGATGGTCTCTCCCTTGCTTATACCCCAGAGATGTGCCTTCACGTTCCTGCTGCCGGCAAGGGACACCTTAGCTCATCCTGTTTGTATGCCCCATTGTACAGCAGAGCAAACTGAGGCTTGGAGAGGCCCATGGTGATGGAGCCAGGACTGGCATGGGATTGCACTGCTTCCAAACCTTCATGGGGGAGGCTGGCCTGGCGGCTGGGTCTGAGGGGAGTCCTTGAGCCAGCCTGAAGTGGCCTCTGAGTGCAGAACGATGGGTGTGAATATAGTGGGCGTTGTAGCCAGGATGTGTGCCTGGGGGATGGTGTCAAGGGCTTCATCTTGCCCTAGGCTGGGTGGCATTCCTGTGTGTAGAGGAAGAGGCTCCTTCCTTCTAGGCCTCATCTAAGGGTTGGGACAAGTGTTCTTAGAGAATACACCCCGCACCCCAGCCTGAGCAGGACAGTGGGTCAAGTGAGGGTCTGCCCGAGGTCATACAGCCAGAGCTAGTCTCCAGACACTGGACTTGGCGAGCAGAGCACAGACTTCCTGAGTTCTGCCCTTCATGGGCCATGTGGAGTTGGCCAGGTGCCTGGCTGGATGGCATTGGCCTTGTCCCCTGAGAGATGGTCCTCCTCTCCTGCCAGGCCCCTAACCCCAGCCTCCAAAGGTGAAGGCAGAAACGTAATGCCTTCAGAAGTCTCCCCTCACCACAGCCCACCCAGCTGATGTCTCCAGTCCCAAGAGGGGAGACGGATCTCCCTTACAGCTTGTCAAAGAAGGGTCGGGTTGGGGAGAGGCTGAAATTTGCCAGGGGAACCCAAAGTATGTGGGGAGAGGAATCTTAGATAGGATCAGATGTACCCCCACAAAGACTTGACCTGGAGATGGGCCTGTAGACACACACACACACCCTTGCCACTCTCTGAAACCAGCTGAACACACATTCTAGCAGCTTCTATGTGCCATGATCTGCCCGTGTGCAGCTCATACAAACTTGATGGAGTTTAGAGAGGTGGGGACGTAGGCTCAGCTGTTAACCACAGACTCGCTTTTCTTGGCCTTAGCCAAGTGACATTGCCTCTCCGAACCTCAGTTTCCCCATCAGTTAAATGGGACTGATAACCTTTCCTTTAAGAGTAGATGTCAAAGGCAAATGAAGTTTTGCCTGCAAAGTGACTGGCTTGATCTGAATCTCATTATTCTGTCCTTACGTCCTCCTTTGGGTGTCTGAATGAAGCCACACCTCCTCAAGGATGAAGGCCAACCCCTGCCCTTCTGGTCCAAGAGGGTTCCCTGACAGAGGAGGGATCTGAGGAGAATAAGACAGCTGAACAGGGCAAGGACAAAAGCCTGGATGCACACACATTTCAAGGTCTCTTTGCTCAGTCAGGAGAGACGTTTTCAGTGGTTTGGGGTTTGTCCTTAGGTTTAATCTATTCCCTGGATTCCCCCAGCTGTGTTAGAAACCAGACACAAATTGTCCTCTGTGAGGAATCTTCACTGAACAGCTCAGGCATCCATTTGGTCAGAAAAACATGTGCTGTGTTTTTTATTAAATTTCCCTGGAAAAACAATGATTTGAATTCAAGCAGGGGAGAAAAACAGGTTTCCCTAAATTCCAAGCTTGAGGACTTTCTCTTCCCTTTGAAGTGAAATGGAATTGCCCCCTGCCCCTACCCTGGTCCCCAGAGGTGTCCCCAGAGCCATGTTTTTCTAGCTGCCTGTCTCCCCAGAGAGTATGGAGTTGGGGTCAGGGATGGGATGAGAGGGCCAAAGCTGCCTGGGCTGGGTGGCCTGGCCCCTCTCTGGGCTGCTGAAATTTACTTCTGGCAGTGGGGCTGATAGTCACCCACCGTGTGACCTTGCATAACGTTGACATTTACCCTTCCAGAGTCTTGCTGTCTTTATCTGTAAAAATGGGGATCATGATTGCATAGGGCAGCTTTTGAAGAGCATGTCACAGCCGCAGAAGGTCTGAGCTGGAAAATGCTGCAGAAGCCTTCCCTTCTTCAACTAGTCAGGAAACTGAGGCCCACTGGGGAAAGGGATGTCCTTAGAACGCTTGGAAAGTCAGCTACTGGTTCAAGCCTAGCCTCTGATTCTTGACCTCAGTTCTTGTCCGTCCTGCCTCCTTGGTCCGGGTCTTGGTGTTTGTCGAGGGCATCGCGTGACTGGGGACCCCACCGCCTGCCCAGATCCCAGAACCAAAGAGTGAGACTGCATGGACATGTCCTTGTGTGCCCCCGGGGGTTTGGATGGAAGCCACCCCACAGGTATAAACACTAATCTGCAGATGTTTCTTCTCTCTTGTGCCTTCAGGGGTTTCCTGGAGACTTTGGGGAAAGAGGTCCTCCTGGACTGGATGGGAACCCTGTAAGTATTTCAAGTCTTGGGGAACAGGAAAGAGATTCCAGAGCAAGACACAACAGGTTTGAGGAATCCAAGCTTTGGGGTCAGACAAGTTGGGTCATATCCTACCCCTGCCACCTCTGAACCCCAAGCTCCTATCCACTGTGGGTATCCTGTACCCCCCAGGAAAGCACCCCCCAGCCCGCTGAGCCCCTGGTTCTAAAGCCCCAGACCGTGCCGCATCCCCAAGGACTCAGGAAGGTTCTGGGTCGCTCCCCACCGGGGAAGCCAGGGCTACTACTGTTTTACAAAGCATCAACAATGTTTATGAGGCAGCAGTGCCCTGGGGGAGCTGATGGTTTGTAGACCCTGTGTGGAGAGAAGAGCTGAGTTCTAAAGAAATCTTCAACATAGGCATGTTTATAGAGTTTGTAAATAATCGGAGGCCTGTCATCGAGGAGCCAGGTCAGCCTGCCCTGAGGTGCTGAGCCCGCCTTTCCCTTCCTGTTCCAGGCTCAGGCTCAGGCGGGAGAGGAAGCTTGTTCTCTGCCCCAGGGGAGCAGACTAAGTCCAAAGCTCTTTGGAACACCTGCCATGTTCCCACATCTCTCTTTGGGCCTTTCCACCGAAGCAGCTGTGGCCAGCTGTGCTCTCTGTAGAGGTGACTGCTGGCTCCACGATCAGCCCCTGACGGTGTAGGGATTTCACTTCCACAAATGCTCCCTGAGCCCGACCCCGCTTGGGCTCACCCCAGCAACCATGGGGGCTTAAGCCCTGGTCTCAGAGCCGGGTGGACTGGGGTTTGAGTCCTGCTGCATCACTTGGACACATCGGTTGCCCTCTCGGAATTTCAGTTTCCCTCTCTGTAAATCTGGGGGTCGGAATGCCAGCCCCAGGGGGCTGGTGTAAGAATGAAGTGAGAGGGGGTGGGAAGGCGGTCGGCTCACAACAGGTGTCCCTGGATGGGGCGGTTGTAAACAGTAGGTCACAGCGGGCACATCGCCTGCCCTGGAGGAGCTCACAGCTGTCTGTCCGGTCCATCGCACCAGGCAGAGTGAGATGTGTGGGGTCAAGGGCCCCGGGTGCTGTGGAGGAGGGATAGAGGAGCAGGGAGACTCCTGCGGAAGGTGATGTTGGATTGGGTTGAGGAGAGAGGTGAGGGGACATTCCATGTGGAGGAAAGGTCATCAGCGAAGGCACGGAGGTGAGAAATTGGAGCCTCTCCTTCGGTATATCAGTTATTGGGTCAGGCGTTATAATATGTGATGTCATCTCCGAAGCCGCCTTGGGGAGGGGCAGCAGTGTCTTTATCCTCAGATCCTGGGGGAGCAGAAAGAGGGCCTGATGAATGGCCCCAGCTTGGCCACGCAGTTGTTGAGTGACCTTGGACAAGTCACTTCCCTTCCCTGGGCCTCACCTCCCTCATTTTATTTTATTTATTTATTTATTTATTTTTAAGATTTTATTTATTTATTTGAGAGAGAGAATGAGAGAGAGAGCACATGAGAGGGGGGAGGGCCAGAGGGAGAAGCAGACTCCCTGCCGAGCAGGGAGCCCGATGCGGGACTCGATCCAGGGACTCCAGGATCATGACCTGAGCCGAAGGCAGTCGCTTAACCAACTGAGCCACCCAGGCGCCCTCGCCTCCCTCATTTTAAAGCCAAGGCGGCGTCTCCCCTCCGCTTCTTCTTGGTGGCTGTAGTGATAGCCTCCTGTCTGGGCCCACCCGAAGCAAGACAAACACCTGGTGGGTGCTGGCAATTCCCACTGATAATCAGCATTTCTAGAAGCCCCCATTTTTATTCATGCTTTGCATCTTGAACTTGATCCAGACCCCTCTACCTGTCTTTTCTGGTGCAAGCAATGGATGGTCCATTTTTAGAGACGAGGAGATGGAAAGTTGCCCATGACATACACAGCCGCATCCCCTGACTCCCAGGCGAGAGCCCTCTCCAGCATCTGGGAGGCAGAGACTTGACAGCCTACTTCATGAAGGCGGGCTTCTCTCAGGGCCCCAGCACCTCCTGGCTGGGAGAGGGAGAGAGGCTGGCCCGGTGGCTCTCAGCTTCGAGCTGAGCCACTGTGTTATTTCCTTGCACTTGACCTAGGGCACATCACATAACTCTCGAGCCCCAGTGTTACCATCTATGAAGTGAAAGTGAAATGAGATCTGGGCCAGACACCGGGCCCATCTTTATTGTCAGGATCAGGATTCCACCTCTTCTTTCACACTTACAAGTGGAAAATACTAGGTCTGGAAATCCAGTCTCCCTGTTTTACAGATGTGGAAAGCTGAGGGCAGAAGGGGGAAGGGTCTTGTCCAAACTTCAGGCCAGGCTCCGAGAGTCACTAATCAGGCACAAGGGATGGTCAGCTCCAGAGGATCCCACCAGGTGCCCACAGGGGGATAGCGTGGAGGGAGTGGCCCAGGAGGGAGACAGGGCAAGTAACCGCTTTGCTCTCTTCCTATCTGCAGGGAGAATTGGGCCTGCCAGGGCCCCGAGGAGTCCCCGGCCTCATTGTAAGTACACAGATGCCTGGGTGGTGGGGCGTGGGGAGCAAGCGACGAGTCCTGCTGGAAAGGTCCCTCTCTCATCAAACCCCAGGAGGAGCTGGGGGAGCAGGACATATCAGTCTGGCCAGGGCGCAGAGGGAGGAAAGCCCTGCTGTGTGTCCTCAGGTGGATCGCCCACCTTCTCTGAGCCTCTTTCTTCATTAGTTAAATGAAGGCAGGTGCTTGGAGCATGAGAGTGCGGATGTCCTTTCACACCTGCTGCCTGCCCATCGTACTGCAGGGAGGTCTAGGTAGGTGATAGCATGCCCATCCACAGGTGAAGTGGCTGGCCGAGGAGCTGAGGTCATGTCAGGCTGTCTTCCTCATCCTTTCCTTCACAGCACTGACTCTGGAGCCAGACCCCCTGAGTTCAAGTCATAGATCTGCCCCATCATGACTGTGTGACCTGGGTGAAGTTGCTTACCCTCTCTGAGCCTTAGTTCTCATCTGTAAGATGGGGATGATGATAGAGTACTCTGGGGGTGGTTGTGAGGATTAACTGAGGCCTTGGCCCAGGGTCTAGCATTTAGTAAGTGTGCCCTGAGAGGAAAATATCATTATATTAATCATTGCTATCACCTCCTGACATGCCTGGGACTGAAAGAGGCCTGTGCACAGGGAGGTGGGAGGCAGGCTGACCTCTGACTCCATCCAGATTGGGGTAGGCCTTGTGGAATGGTTCCATGAGCCAAAACCAGGGCCTCCTGCTGGGCCCTCAGAGTGGGACCTTGACCTTGGGTCTGGCCACAAGAGCCGTTGAAAGGTTCAGGCCTGGGAAATGACTCTAGGAGCTTTCCCCAGGGTCTCATGCCCCTTTGCTCTGTCCTCTGGTCATTCCTCATGGGGCTTGAGTCTGGGGGGCCATGGAGGGACATAAGTAGGCTGTTCCCTAGTTTGACTAATGGGCTGCCGGCTTTGGCTACCCCAGCAACTATGCCACGAAATTCTGTTCAGAGGGAGGCTGGAGAAGGCCCCAGGGGAGTTCAGGGGCCCCATTGTTTAGGGGTGGCCAGTCCTGGCAAGAGGGCCCAGAGGTTCCCAGGGGCAATGGGTGAGTGCAGAACCTGGGCAGGGTAGGGGCGGAGAGTCTGCACCCTAGGCTCGCCTCCTGGTTCTGTGCTCTTCAGCTATGGCCCCAGGGAACCCCTTCATAAGATGGGATCCTTGTGCCCACAAGAGCTTTGTAAAGAGTCAGGAGGGCTTTGTAAAGAGTCTGACCACCACAGATGCCCACAGTCCAGTGCAGTCCTGTGGCTAAGGCGGCAGTCCCTGCAACCAGACCACCTGGGTTCGGATCCTAGCTCTACTACTGGTTGAATTCAGATGCTGAGCAAATTTCTTAACCTCCCTGTGTCTCATTTTCTTCGTCTATAAAATGGGGATAATAGTAGTACCTAACTTAGACTTTTGTTGTGAAGATTTAAAGAAACTAGTACATAAAAAGTGCTTCGCACATAGTAAGGACCCAAGAAGTGCTCGTCATAATAATAATAGTTATTGTTAGTTCACCCACACACGTATGTTATGCATGGTAGCAGCCCTCTGGATTGCTGTGTAGAGAAAGATTTCAAAGTCACATTGGAACTTAGTGGGAGACACGGGCTGGGATCAATGAGTGACATCTCCTTGGCTTGGGGCAGTGAAATGTCCACCTATGAGTCATGCATTTGTCATCCCCGATGTCCATTCAGCAGGACTTTGCTGGGCATTTTCGTTGGCACAAGGCACTGCCTAGATGCTTTGGAAAAGGAATATCTGCAACGAGAGGTAGAGAACCCCAGTTTATGAGGACCCCCAAAGTCTTGTAGTCCTGCCTCCTCTAAGCTCACAGGGATGCCTTCTGGAACATCCTGGTCACACAGTGATTACACTCCAACTTGAACAGCCTGGTGTTGGACACTCTTTCCTGGGGGAGCCCAGGCCATTCTACAGAGCTCTTGCTATGTGTGGTGTTGCTGCATCCTGAGCCCCAGTCATTCCCCTGCCCCTGGGGAGAGACTGTTTGAGATGAAAAGATGGTCACTTTCTGTCCTTACCAAGGCTCCTTCTTCAGGCTAAATGCTCTCAGTTCCCAAAGCTCTCCTGCAGGGATGTTTACATATCCTGGCTTTCATCGTTGGCATGTGTTTCTCTTTGTCATTGTCCTGGTGTCCACTAGGTTGGGTCCTGAGAGGACCAAGAATATCATTTGGCCGAATGAATGCAAGCTCTGGAGACTCAGACAATGCCCTTGGCCCTCCTGACTCTTTACAAAGCTCTTTCCCACCTATGCTCCCCTTTGCTTTCCTCAATGAGGGTTGCCAGATAAAATACAGCATGCCCAGTAAAATTTGAATTTCAGATGCAATATTTAGAACACATTTATACTAAAATATCATTCGGTGTTTATCTGACATTTGAATGTAGCTGGGCAGACTGTATTTTTATTTGCTCAATCTGGCAGCCCTAGTCAAAGGAGCTCTTAAGAGAATCCCATTTGGCAGATGGGAAAACTGAGGCCCCTGGTCAAGATCACCCATAAGGCAGGAGAAGATGGAGGCAGGACCGAAAGGCATGTCCTCCAACTCTTAGTCCAGGACCCGCCTCCCGCTGCCCGCTTCTGAAGGGCCTGAGCTGGGGTGTTCCTGCGTTCCTCAGACTGTGCACCCCCTCATGATGTCCCTTTCCAAATCGCTGATCTATGCCTCCTCAGGGTTCCCTCTTGCTCTGTGTCTTTCTCTGCCACTTTCAGCCTCACTTCCCGTTTTAAAATTCCCTCTGCTGTCATGGGGATGTTCCCTTCCTCCTGTGGTGGTGGTGGGGGGGGTAGTCACAAGCACAGACCAGACCCTGCCAAATCACCAGCACTCCCCGAACGAGTGCCTTCTCTCACCCAAGGACCCCCTCCTGCCCTGGATTTTTGGAAACAGCAGCTTCTGTGCCCCAGGTTGGGGGCAGGGCGGGTAGGGAGAATAGTGGCCTCCCCAGAGAGTTGGAGAGGAAAGGAATTTTCTAACCAGGAGTTAAAGGGGAAGAGGGATTATGAGTCACCTCTGGTTTTCCAGAGGATGTGGGTTTTTAGCTGAGCAAATGGGAATTCCACATATGGATGATTATTTTAGTGGAGATTCAGGTTTATTCAATGCCTTCTGTCTAGTCAGCTGAAGCAATTTGCATGCAGACTGAAGCTGAAACTTCCCCTGTCACCGCCCCCCCTACCCCCAGGTCCTTGCAGGCGGGAGGAAGAACATGAGGAGACAGACTAACATTTATGGAACGTCTTTCTATTTTGTGTATGCTTGGTGTGCACTAGGCTGGGGAAGCCTTGAGATAGTTGAAGGGGGGCGGCCTCAGCCCAGTCACCCCGATAGGGAGGCTGGGGCCTGAGGTCACCAGCTAGGACTTGCAACCCGGGTCTGTGTGACCCGGATCCCAATAAGCTGCTGGCGGCCCCCTGCAGCCTCTGAGGGGGGACTCCCTTGGAACAGCCCCGTTTGAGTAACTGAAACCCTTTGGCTGGCCCTCAAGAAAAGAGTGCCTGATTCCAGAATCTGCCCAACAAAGAAGATTTCTGTCTTTTTTATTTTGAGTGACAGAGGGAATTTTGGCTCCTCCATGGGTCTAATGAGACCCAAAGAATATGTGGTCTGGCCAAAGCCCAGCATGTGGGGTATAGTGGACGAGTCCCCCATATTCTGTCAGTAAATGATCATCTGGCTTTGTTTCCTTGCGATGAAGCAAGATCAGGAGCCTCACTAGCTGACACTTAAACCAAGCCCTTGTGTGCCAGGCCTTGTGCGAAGTATTTAATGATCATGGCAAGCCTCTGAGGGTAGGAAGTGGGATTACCCATGGTACGCTTAGGGGAACCGAGGCACAGAGAGGCTGAAACACCTGCTCCGGGTCACACAGCAAAAAGCTGGACCTGGGCCTGTGTCCGTAGGTCACGGACTTTACCACTGCATCCCGCACTCAGCTCTGTGTGACTTCTGGAGACAGAAGAATGGAGACAGCGGATATGTGAGTGTGGACTGCCCCAGGGGCTGTTCTGTGTGAGAGATGGTGCTTATTAAAACCACACAGGAGCCAGGACCGGCCATAGCCCCCACGTCCCTGTCCCCAAGCCACTGATCCCTATCAGAGTTTCTGGAAAGAGGCCTTATTGCCTTCAAAGGCAGTTCTAGGAACGCCGAGGCGAGATTTCTCCCTGGAGGGCTTGTAAATGAGAGCGTGATTAGGTTTCTTTTTCACCCAGTTGTTAAGCCACTCTGAGCGAGCACCTCCACCATATTAAATGGTCGCCAGCATGGCAAGGGCTGTGAGACCTGACCGCAGGGGCCTGGCCTGGCCTGTGGGGTCGGGGAAGGGATGTTGGCGCTTCGGCGGAAGGATGAGTGCGTGTGAACAACGTGAGCGCAGGGTAGAGCATTCTGGGTCTGGGAACCCGTGGCCAAGGATGCCACAGCTGCAGAGGAACGGCGGGGCAGGAAGGGAAGACGTGTGTGAGGGGTGGTGGGAGGCCCTGCCAGCCAGCCAGACCTGGATTCTGGTCCTGCCCATGTCCCCTGTTGGTTGCTTAGTCTTGGGTGAGCGACTTCACCTCTCTCTAAGCCTCGATTTCTCCTCTGTAAGATGGGCCTCGTGGGGTTACGGTGAACAGCCGGCGAGGGCCCAAGCAGCACATTCCAGCCGGAGCCCAGCGTAAGCTCCCGTTAACGGCGGTTGACGGGACCTTGAAGTCTCGCGCGTGGTGTCTGGCACACAGTAGGAGTTCTGGAAATGGTTGCAGACGTGGTTGGTTGTGTTTTGGTGAGAGTCATCAAGACAAAAGGCAAGATGTGTAGAGTGGTGTCTGGGAGCTTAGGCAAAAGTGGGAACAGGGGGCGCCTGGGTGGCTCAGACGGTTAAGCGTCTGCCTTCGGCTCAGGTCATGATCCCAGGGTCCTGGGATCGAGTCCCGCATCGGGCTCCCTGCTCAGCGGGGAGCCTGCTTCTCCCTC